TCTTTTACTTTTTTTCTTAGCCAGACTTACCAGAACAGCAGCTGCAGCATGATATCATTATTTTAATTGTTTGCCTGCTATAAAGCTGTTAAAAGCAATTTTAATTTTTACCAGTAAATAGATTTTATTACAAAGTTATATTGTTGCTCGTAGCTATCCGAAGTAATAGGTACTTAGGAGAGTATTTTAGTCTGAACTGTTATGTCTCCTTTATCCACTGTATGCCTAGCCAAGTGTTACAATTCTGCCCACAGGATAACAAAAAAAATGCTAATAGGAGCAATTAAAAGATATGAATAATACTGACACCTCTTTATTATCTTCCAGGTACCACTGGAACTGCCAGAGACATTAAATGGTAATGATGCGGTTATAGTTATTTGCCAATTGAAGTGATTCCTAAAGAAACACAGAGACGTTTATTTCCAATCTTTGAAGGGTTTTGAACTTCATTATTAGATTTAGAAAATAAAGCAGTCATCTATAGAATTATCTATATGGTAACTGATGATGCCAGACTGCTCCAAAAAATTAAGCATACATGGGCTAAATTTTTATACCAGACAATGAAAATTAAACTCATGGTTCCTGTATTGCTTAATAATGTCAACGTGTTTTGGTTTCATTTTTCTTGTTTTTTTTTCTTTTCTTTTCTCCCCTTTCCTTTCTTCTGTTGTTCATTCTATCTATCTCTTTTTTTTTTTTTTTATTTTTTGGCTGTGATTTTCTGTGCCTCTCTACTGTTTTTGCTGCCTTTTTCTTTCTGCAGTTACAGGCACACCCCATTTACTAAATGATGAATATTGCCATATTCATCACTTGATTTCATCAGATTCATCAATATCACCATATTCATCAATTGGCATTGTCTTAGAGTATCTGACCTCATCAACTATTCATATGTGTTTCCGTGATGAAATGTGACTTTCCTTAACTGGTCTCTTTCTCATGTTTCATCATTAATCTTAATGCCTAATTAAAGTGTAAGCATGATAGTCTTCATCCTTTTGCTTCTTTCTATTTTTTCTCCTATTTTTATTTTAATCCCTTCTTCTACTATACTCATGTTTTCCAAACTCCAATTCATTTGGAACCTTCCTCGAAAATCCCGAATGTGAGATATTCGGTGTGCTTCTGCTTAACCTTCCTCTTATCCATTGTCAAACACACACACACACACACACACACAAAATTTATAAATTTGTAAAATGAGAAGAGAGTTTATTTCTTATAAAAGGTTATAGCTTGCAAGGTGGCCATTCCACAGGCTGGGGACCATGCCTCCAGCAAAGACCAGGAACAGGCACTTTGAAAGAGGACGGGTTGGGGTCGGAACTTTATGCTAAACAGTTTGGCTAAACACAGATATTCACCAGCCTGCAGGAAGAGCTACTAATATTCCTGAAGACACTCCTGACACATGCATATTGAACATGCCTGTAACATATGACCCATGTTCACTTTGGGGCATGTAGGGTAAACACACCTGATAGCAATAATTTAAGTACACCCTTAAATGACCCTCTATAGTAGATGCACCTGAATGTGGTCCAAGCTAGAGAATCCAGGAGTAGCCAATCTGAAGATTCCTTCCTTATCAAAGAGGAAAATTTGATCCCCCACCTCAACCCACCCAGCCTGTCCCATGGAACAGATGCTGTGTAGGGGATTAACGTCCTGAGTTTTAGGTTTAATGAAGGTTGCCAAATGCAGGTCGTTAGAAGGAGAGTGTTAAATAGAAATGCTATATGATGTTTGCAGGAAGTTGCACGGAGTTGCAGTTTTCTTGCCCAGGCCATCGCCACTGGGCCCTGTGGTTATGTTGTCCAGCTCACAGGCATTGGACTCTCATCCCTGTATGTAAGCCCCTAATCAAGCCCCATGTCTCATTTACTGGCTCTGGGTCTCTTCTTTGGCCTCTTGAATCTGGTGCCTTCCATACTGAGGTTAGTAGGAGTTTGACACAATAGGATGGAGACATAACATGTAAATGTATTACACTTAGGCTCTATATGTCAAAAGGTCTTTTCAGGACGTAAAGGCCTGCAAGTGCACAATCTCTGTATCCTGGCCAGGAGCAGTTCATGGTCACTAGTCTTCTTATAAATAGAAAGTTACCAAAATCAGAGTCTTGGCCAATCAAAGCTTTAGTTGTGGCTGGTAAAACAGGGGCTCCGTCAATGTCTGTGAGCTGGATGAACTGTAATTATTTTAACATTGCTTATCTCAAGACCAGTGCTTGTTTAGCTGCCACAGTGAAAGAAAAACCTTGTGGCAGATAGAACATAGTTGATTCTTTAAGTGTTGGGGGCCAAAGTGTGGGAGAGGGGTGCCGTGCATTACTTAACCCTTGCCTGGCATTTAGCTCCTGTTTGTAATTTGGTATCTTATTGCCACAAAGAGTGTTCTGTCAGTCTTAAGATCTCTATTTTAAGATTAATGCTGGTCAGTTGTCTGTAAACCATAAAGGGGAGGGGGTATAACAAAGGCTGTATGACTTCCTCTAGTGTCATTGCCAGGAACTCAGTTTTAAGATTTTTCTAGGATCGCGTTGGCCACAAGAGGGTCCACTCACTTGGGGTGAAGGGTCCTCAGGATTTTAAGTCTATATCGTTCATCTTATTCTGAACGTTTGTGTTTCATGTTGGAGCTTTCCAGTAAAAACAAATGGATGGGCCAGAATTATTTTTAATTTTCTTTCCCAATTTCACTTAAAAACAAACTGAATTCATTATGCTGCAGAATCCTATGTTGTGTTCTGTCCCTGGCTACTTTTATCTTTTTGCCATTTCCATCTCTTGGCAGAAGTTTTTCTCTTCTTCAAGTGAGAGCTCAAGAGTGATCTCTCATCCAACCTGCTCCCTTCCAGCTTGAAGTCATAGATCTACTAATTTCAGTTCTCCTCCTTTGCAGAGTCTGTATTTATCTTTTATTATTCTGCCTAGGGACTTAAGACTTAAACATTTTTTCTCAAATAAAATAAAAGAAGTACATTATTTCATCTACACACTGGCCTCCTTGAGGGCAGTGTTTACAGGTGAGAATTCCTGTATTTCCCACACATATTCTGGTCTCAAACAAATACATGCTTGTATAAGTGGTTTATGGCTAATTAAAAGTTATCTTTTCTGCCCACATTGATATTGATCAGTAATGAAAATAAAATAAATCCCAAGTAAAAGGTTGACAATTGGAAAGTTATATTCAGTTATCCTGAATTTGAGACCCAGGTGTCTCACTAGTTTATCTCTCAGGACCTCAGTTAATTCATCTGTAAATGATTTTTTGTCTTAATTTACCTCAGAGTTTTTAAATTCTATATTATAATCTATTATTCTATAGCCAAGAGATATCAGTTGACTTCTATTTATTTATATTTAAAGTTCATAATAGTTAGTAAACAAATTTTACTGCATATCCTTTATGGACCAAGCTTGTTCCAGGGATAGGTAATACTATAGTTAACAAGACAGAAAAACTGCCTGAATTCCAGCAAACAATGTTTTGAATGAGAAGAAAAGCAATAAACACTTCAAAAAAACAAAAAACAAAAACAAAAAACACTTTTTTAAACAACGAATTAAAAAATAGACAATAAACACTTCTTTTAAAAATATCTAATTCAGATTTGATAACTATTAGGAAGAAAATAAAATAGGGTGAGGGGACACAGAATGGTAAAGCTACTTAATCAAAAATCAAAAGGACAGCTGAGCTGACTTAATGATGAGACGTGGAGTCATTTGAGCTGAGGTCTTAGTAGTGAGAAGTAGGGAGCCACATGAGAATTGCAGCAAAGGATTCCAAACAGAAGACACAGCGAGTGCAAGAGAGGAAAAACTGTCCCTGCCAGTGTGGCAGTAAAGTAGGGGCAAGTATTTGGCATTTACTCCAGGTGGGGTGAAAAGCTGGTAGAAAAATTTACATGGAGGAGGGATGTGCTTACATTGAAAGAAAAAAAACATTTCACTCTGGTCACTATTTGAAGTGCACCTGAATGTTTGTTCCAAGCTAGATAATCCAGGAGTGGCCAGCTTGGAGACGCCTTCCTTTCATAAAGAACAGCTGAGTCCCCACCCCAACCCACCCACTGGAATACAGGCTGTAGAGGAGATTGAGGCCCTGAGTTTTGAGTAAAGTAAAGGTTTCCAGATGGAGGTCATTAGGGGGATTGTGTTAAGTGAGAATGCCGTATCAACTGCATGATGTTTGCAGATGGTTGCAATTTTCCTGGCCAGAGTATACGGTGTGTAGGCACTTTAAGATGATGTGAAGCAAGAGAGAAACCAAGGAGAATATTTTGTTTTTATTTTTTGCTGCATACTGAGAGAGACAAGAATAGATTAGCGTTAATTACTAATGGACGTTTGAGACATAGTTAAGATTTACTCTCTCTATACACACACATACATGTATATACATATTTTTAAATTTTACTTTAAGTTCTGGGACACATGCGCAGAATGTGCAGGTTTGTTATATAGGTAAATGTGTGCCATGGTGGTTTGCTGCACCTATCAACCTGTCACCTAGGTATTAAGCCCTGCATGCATCAGCCATTTGTCCTGATTCTCTCCCTCCCCTAGCCACCCCCAACCCCACAGGCCATGTTGTGTGTTGTTCCCCTCCCTGGGTTCACGTGTTCTCGTTGCTCAGATTTACTAAATATTTTTAAGGTAGAACAGTCTGGACTTACTGTAAGGAACATGGCTGTGCAAGCATAGGCCTAGCCAAGCAGGCACAGGCCGAGGTAAACATCCTGCATGACTCAGCGGAATTGGAACACAGGTGCACAATTTCATGCATATAATTATAGCCATGTAGCCATAACATGGGGAGGCTTATTATCTGACTCTGAGCCACTATTTTATGTGAGTTATATAAATGTAGCACAGACACTGTGAGAGAGCTGCTGAATAAAACCATATCCCATCCAGCTGCTGTGTCTTGATTGTTCTTTCAGCTCCCTGCTGGTCCACTCACTCCCCTTAGACCTCAGCTGGGGCTCAAATGTAACATTTAGCGTTGTCAGCAGGATAAAGTCAGTGGATCTTCAGTCCCCGAGGCTCCTGGGCAGGCTATGTGGCCGCAGCACGATGGGCTGTGGTACCCAGTGGCAGCGGTACTGCTGGGATAGGCCCCAGTGAAACATGGGAGGTAGTGGGCGGGTCTCCTGTGAGTGTGGAGAAAGCACTAAAGCAGCTGGAAGAACACCGTGCTGAGAAGAAATGCAATGCACCTTTGCCGGCGGAGTTGGATGGGCATTTCTGACTGCACTGCGGGAAGTACATGCTCAGTTCCTGCGGGATGCTGCACAGGTAAAGGACCTCTACATGCAAGCCACATGCCCGGGGGCCCAAATGCACAGCTTGGAGCAAAACTTGGAGGTAAGGGACCTCCAGACACAAACAGGGCATTTAGAGGCCCAGATAAACATCCTGGAACAGGAGTTAGAGACTGCCGTCAGTGTAACCTTGAGCCCATGCTCGCTGCTGGAAACTCCCCTTCATGAGCAGCCGATGGCGCCTCAGGGTCGGGCTTAGGGGCCCCCTACCGTGGTTGTACACACTCCGTATAGTGCCTATACCCCCACTGAGTTCCGGGAGTCAGGCAAGCATTGTCGGCAGCCTCCTGGGGAGCCCCTCCTTGTCTGGTTACTCAGACTTTGGGGTGAAGCAAGGGTGTGGTGGAAGAAGCGGCCTCATGAAGGCCGAGGTCCAGTGGACTTTGTGCCCCTGGGAGTTTATGGGTCTGTGGGGAAACAGGATGGCCATGTCTGCCAGAAAATTGAACTGGACACTGTACTTGGGGATCCCCTTATGTGTCTGCCACTGTGTTCCCCACATTGCCTAGATGCCCACACACCTGCAAGGTGCTACATTACTGATTTTTGTGAGTGTGGCAGGTCCCCTGGTGGCTCTACCCCTTAGCAATAATGATCTCTGGAGCAGGTGTCATCACTGTAGAAATGCAGCTTACCACCTTTGCAGAACACACAGTTCGGGCCCTGAATTACGCTAAATTGCCCTCCTTCTGTTAATAAGCTGGATCTCTACCTAGAATAGGGAAACATAATAGGAGAAATAGTACAACTGAGTTATCATAAAGCACAAGTAGTAAATGCGGCCAAACTTAAAAGACCGCACATCATAGCATTTAGTCCATATGCAAAGGGTAGGTGGAAATTTTGGGTCAGCTAAACATCATATATTAATTTTGTTAAATATGTTTTGAGTTTTGTTGGAAAATTTTCTGTGCATTTGATTTGTAAATGTGGTTTTGGCTGTTATACGAAGCATAGATAAAGGGATACTGTAACTTATTTTTTGCATCTCATGTTTTATGGTGAAAAAGTAAGTTAACTATTGATCCATCAGATTGTTTTCCCTTTAAAAGGGTTTAATGCATAAATGAATTTTGGAAAACACTGATTTTGGAGCAGGATAGAATATGCATCTATTTTCATGCTACCGTTAAACAGAACTGTTATCCCTAACTTGTCAATAAGAACTCTGAGACTCCAAGTAGAACGTTAAAGGAATGTGGCAATTAGGGATAACAGTTGTCTCATTAGATAATTGTCAGATTTTTAGAATCATGTATGTAATGTTGCCTTATATTTTTATTTCTCATCCAGAGTCTCTCTCGAGCTCAGTAGTCAACATTTATTCTGCACCCTTATGACTATATCCATTTGGGTATCTCAAAAGCAGTTGCAAAGCAATATATCTAAAACTTGCTATCTCCTTCAACCAGACCTTCTCTAGTATTTCCTAACTTGTGAATGACACCATCAGACACTAAGTGGTAAAGTTGTTTTTAACCAAAACTTCACAATTGACCTCTCAGTCTCCCTCTTGCTTCACGTGTAAGACATCCTCAGGTCTTTGCATTTCATGTCCTTAAAAGCTTTTAAATCAGCATTTCTCTATATTCCATTTGTGACTACCTTAGTTCAGGTCTCAAACCATATTTTCTGAATTAGTTTCTGATAGTAAACTTCTGGTCTTGATTTTACCCAATTCATTCTCCATGATAAAGGCAGATTGGCTTGCTGAAAAACAAAATCACACCTGCTTATAAACTTTGGAACTCATTGCCTTTAGAATACACTAATAGCTTAATTTCTTAATATGGCTTATATTTTTTTCATGTTATAGCCTCTGCATATATCTACAAGTTTATCAGAGTAATTTCTTGGCAATTTTTCCTGACATCTTTAACTATTTGTCCTAATTGCAATTTTTCAAATGTGCCATTTTTGTCTTTTGCACATAATACTCTTCTGATTTCTGGAACACTGATGATTGCTACCTGCCCTCCCTTATTTTTTACCTGTTTCATGTCTTTTCCTAACCTGCAAAGACCAGATTAAGTGCCTCCAACATTTGACCCCCACTTTTGAATGGTGTACCATTTACCCCATTATATCCTAATTAATTTCTTACTGGTTTTTTTTCCATCTAACTGTGAGCTACTTGTAAGAGGTTCTTATTTATTTATAATTGTACTCCCAGTGCCTTTCACAGTAGTTTTAAAATTTTTTGGTTGAATGCTTGGTAAAAATTAAGTGCTAACTGAATGTAAACAAAACAGGTGTGCTTCAGTCAAGAATAGGTCGAGGTAAACATTTCATCCAGCATGACTCAGCAAGTTTGGAGCACAGGCGCACAACTCTGTTCACTCTGTAACCTGTTTGTGTAAACTCATACTTGGCTCTGAGCTACTATTGTCTGTAAGGAGTATAACTGCCCTGCCACAGGGCAGGTGGATAGAGGGAGAGAGAAAGAATAAAGCTGCTGATGATATGAATAGCACTGCTGCTGTCACTACATGTATAATAGAGCTGGCAGCCTTGCAAGTGGACAAGGAGGGGAAGCCAAGAAATGACGAGCACACCAGACAGTGCAGTTACAAGCGTGGGAATGGCAGGAGCCTCAGAACCAGCTACCAAGAAGGGCTGCAGCCAGGGCAGGCAGCCAAGACAAAGGCTGACAGAGCATAATAAAGCCATATTTCACCTGCCTAAAGCCCCTCGAGTGTCCTTTCAGCTACCTGCCACTCAGTCACCAACTCCCCTTGGACCTCAGCAGGGGCTAGAACCTGACACTTGGTGTGATACTTGGTGTAGTTGGCAGGATACTGAGGTGACTGAGTCTTCGGTCTTTGCTGATTCTGAGTCAGCCATGTGGCTACAACATGGGTTGTGGTACCTGGTGGCAGTGGTGCTGCTCAAATGAGCTCCAGTGGAAACCTGGGTGGTGGTAGATAGGCCCCCTGCAAGCATGGAGAAGCTACTAAAGCAGCTGAAAACACAGAGCACTGAGAAGGAGCAAGCTTTTGCCAGCAGAGTTAGATGGGTGTTTGTGACTGTGCTGTGGAAAGTACATGCTCAGTCCCTATAGGATTCCACATGGAGCTATGGGAATTAAAGAAATAGTGCCAACAGCATCCAGAGGAACTTCTGCCCACCTGGATTCTTTATCTATGGGATGATGGAGCAAATAGTATCTCCAGTTTCACCTCTGGAATAGACAGGTGACTTCCATCATGACTCATCCCTCCCTCCCTCCATCAGCAGTTGCGTATGAGCAGGCAGTTAGCAGTGGGGTGAGGCAACTATACTTTAAATTGCTAGTGGTGGCCATACAGACAGTGTGGCCTGATGTCTGTGAAATACCAGAAACTATCAGTAGATGGCAGTCTTATACAGACTTGGTGCAAGTCATTCAGAAGGATAATGCTTTGAGACCCAGTCCTGCCCAGGTGCTCCAGCTCAAAGACTAAGTAAGTGCAGCAGCCAGGCGAGGGTGTAGAGCCTTTTCTGCACAGTGAGTGTTGGTACTAGTAGGTACTGGTGCAGACTGAAGCCTTGTTTATGGGAACCCTGATAAGTTTCCTGGCAAGACTGTGTGTGTGGGGGGTGTGTGTGTGTGTATGTGTGTATCTATCTATCTATCTATCTGTCTGTCTAGCCATCTGGCTGTGAAAGCCAGTCAATGGAAGTGAAACCTGTATCTTTGCACTTTGGCATTGGCCACTTGGCTCCCTGCTTATACACTGTGTATGTTTCTCCCATACCTGAATACATTCTGGGGGTGAATGTTTTACATGGCTTAGCAGCTGTCCCATCTATCACGGATTTGATAGACCACTTGACAAAGGAGTTGAGACAACACAACTGTGTGGTAGACTTGGCTAATGAATTCTTTTCCAGAGAGCCAGGAACCGTTGGCCTTGATGGGAGGGCGACAATGGACTTTCACAATGTGGCCACAGGGCTAAATGCATACCCCACCATATGTCATGGTCTCATTGATGATATTATGTTAACCTCTGATTCTCTTGCAAATTTAGAAGCAACAATGCCCCTCTTGACTGGGATTGAGATAGTGCAGCTGAGACTTCCTTCCTGGCAGCCAAGCAGGCTATTCAGCAAGCACAGGCCCTAAAGCGATTGGCCAGGGGCACCCATTTAAACTTAATGTGCATGTAACCACAAATAGTTTTGTTTGGGGCCTGTGGCAGCACACAGAGCACTTGAGAACACCTTTTGGTCCCAACTTTAAAAGGCAACTGAGCTCCAGTATTCATAAGAGAGAAGCAGCTAGCAGCTGCATATTCTGCCCTTCAGGCTCATGAGAGTGTGATAGGATGGGTATAGTCATCTTGTGGATAACTTACCCAATAGCAAGATGAGTGCATTCATGGGTAATGACTCCCCAGACTGGGACGGCACAAAGTAAACATCCATTTCAGCATGACTCAGCAGGTTTGGAGTGCAGGCACATAGATCTGCCCATTATATAACCTGTTGGTGTAAGCTTATTCTTGGCTCTGAGCCACTGTTGTCTGTGAGAAGCATAACTGCCCTGCCACCTTGCAGGCAGATGTGGAGAGAGAGAGAGAGAGAGAGTAAAGTCACTGTGAATAGTGCTGCTGCTGCTGCTACTGCACACATAATAGAGCTAGCCACCTTGCAGGTGGACAGGAAGGGGGAGCCAAGAAATGGCAAGTGCACCAGGGAGTGCAACTGCAGATACAGGGGTGGCAGGAGCCACAGAGCCCAGAACCTACTGCTGAGAAGGGCTGTGGCTAGAGCAGATAGTCAAGACAAAGGCTGACAAAGAGAAAGAGCATAATAAAACCATATTTCACCTGCCTATGGCCAATCAAGTGTTCTTTCAGCTACCCATCATTCATCCACCAACTCCCCTCGAACCTCAGCTTGGGCTAGAACCTGACACTTAGCATGACACCAAATATTTGATTTTTATAAGGCTTTTATTCTATAAAATTATATGCAATAATTAATATTTTATTCTATTTTCTTATTTCTTCATTTGTATTTTACCTACTTGTGGGAAAATGTTACTTTTCGTATTTT